AGCGCCGCCCCTCGGCGCTGCGGGACCAACCCGGCAGCACCCCAGCTGCTCTATTGCAGGCATCCCCGATTTAGCTGCTGCTGAAACTGACCAGCAGCAGCTGAATCAGGGACGCCTGGGGCAGAACCGAACTATCGTAAGGGGGGGCTATGAGGGTTCTGGGGTGGCATCCCCTCCCACTCCACTCCAGACCCCTCATAGCCCCCTCTTCTGATAGTCCGGCACCCCCTGGGTCCTAAAGGTGCCGGATTATCGGACGTTTACTGTAGTTAATAGCAACGTACTAAGTCTCCACCCATCATTTTAAAAACAAAGAGACAATTATAGGTAAAATAATTAACTGCTTTTGAAATGAGCCTCCAAAAATTTCATGAATACACTGACAAACACTGCTAGTAATGCACAGTAAAAACAAGTGGAGATTTGATTGGTGCTGTGCCTTTCACTCCATTGTGCTCTATAAATATGACATTTTCTGTTCCAAGGAAGAGTGCTACCTACTGAATCAACATGACTACACATTTGGGATGTAAGAGTTTACTCTTGTAACCTATTGAATTTCAATCGTTTACAGAATTAGTGGTGGGTGGGTACACACACACACACACACACACACACACACACACCCATTTGTGCGTTCAGTGATCTCCCAGCCAAAAACTGACCCAGCCAGTCTTGGCTTAGCTTGGTGAAATCCAACACGATCATGTCACAAGTTGGTATAACTGCAGACCATAATAAACTGCCCTTGAAAAATGTACTTTAATATCTTTACTGCCAACACTTACTTAATATCATTACACATGAGAAAAATACTTTGATGTTTGCTTCCAAACCTGATATTTTAAAAAATATTGTTGCTGGCTAGCTGTCAGCATATTTTAGCTGTAACAGCAGCTAGCATTCAGGTTGTCATTTTTGAATTAATAAAAACAGATTCTAATCTAATATATAAAGGGGGTTTGCTTTCTTTCTTACCTCTTCCTTCTTTTCTTCAGCACCAGAAGCTAAATTGAGGCTAAGCTGAGAGTGGCTGCTTATGCCACTGTCTTCATTTCCATCATCATAGTAAGCAGTTTGCACTGAGTCCTGGAAGCAAACAGGATTTCTCCCCAATTTTGGAGCAGGTAACTCAATTCTTTCCTCACTTTCCATTGAGCTCAGTGACAATGTGCTGTGATGATCTGGACAATGGAAATTAACATTGCACTGGACTTTCTCAGCACTGGGGCTCTGAGGTTTAGGGGCAGTAGGCCTAAGAGGAATGCTAGGCTGTTCAAATTCACCTGTAAACTGGCTGGTACTTTTTGGTTCAGTGGAGTCTTCATAAAACACTTCATTAGGAAGTGCACTAAGGTTGTTAAAAGCAAGTGATGAACTAACAGCATCTAAGACACACGATAGAGTCCTGAGACTGTTGGCTTCATCAGTAAATACATTTGATTCACTGTCTGTATCCTGAGAAACTGGACTATGGAGACGCGGGGTCCCAGAAAAGGTAGAATCCGGACTATGTGCAGGGGAAATGCACCGCCGTCTGTCATTTTCAGTGCTACTGGAAACCCTGCGGGAGTAGTCGTCATGTAATCTGCTGTTTGGCCTTGTTCTCTGGTTTTGTTCATTCAGAGAAGGAGTCTGGCTCTTTGAACCATCTTTCTTCCATGCAACATCTGTAACATTAGTTACAAGTTTCAAAACTCTGTCAAAATCCTTTGCTCGGATAGGGCTCTTCCAGCGTTTTGACCGTCTCTCTGGGTTTCCACTGGCTTTGTCTGAGTCAGCAGAAGAGGTGCTTACTGTCCTTTGTGGCACTTGCTTTTCACTTGCAGCTTTCAGGTCAGTGAGATTTGAGGTGGACTTTCGTTTGAATGAGCTCTTTTTCAGAAAGTTTAAGCTATCTGTGCTTTTGCTTCTCCTGTAGATAATCCTGTTGTTTTCAGAGTCTTTCACTACTATTTCACAGAACTTTGGCTCCTGGGTGACCGGAGAAGTTGGCCTGGTGCAGTTCTGCTGACTCTGAATTTTATCAGCATCTAGCAAATTTATGCGGCCCACACCATAAGCACGTCTGATGCTGCGTGATCGGTGAGTATTCCTTAGAAAGGAATCATCACTTTCCTCTACATCAGAGCAATCAGAAGCCAAACCATCCACTGCATTATGGAAATCATGTAAAGGCTCTGAATAGGAATACCGGTTAGTCTGAACTCTTAATGCTGCGCCATTGGAGACATGTTTTCCAATAGGGCTCTCATTTAAGACATCTGAGCTTTCCCTGGCCTGAATTCCTTGAAGAACTGAAGATTTTAGCTTCTTGAAAGATCCCATTTTTCTAATGGAAGACAAAGCATTCCACGTTGATGAGTTGCCCATCACAATCAGAGAATGAGGCCTTTCTGAGTTGGAGGTAGTTCGTTTCCGAGGGGTAGCAAAAAAGCGCATGACTTTTGAAGGGCTGAGTTTGTCATCTTGTATTTCCTCTTCAGCACTGTTGTTGCTACTGCACCCCCCATTGCTAGTTATATTTCTGGGTTCTTTGTTATCCATTACTATACAGGTAACAGCGGTGTCAGTTCCACAGCCATTCTGCAATGTTGTCATGTCCTCAGTACTGAAAACATGAGGGCAAAGGGTGTTACATCTCAGACCCACGCTATCATCTTCCTCAGTTGCTCTATGTCCCAGCACCTCATCTGCTGCACCTCTTCTTGCCTTGTTTTCACATGTACTGTGTGAACTGAGCTCTCCAGACTGAACTGCCTGCACCAAGAAAACAAAGTCAGTAGTTAGCCATTTTTTCCCCTCACAAAATGTCCTACAAAATGAAACATGGTTCCCTAGGCATAAAACAAAGCTGTATCCTGGGGCTAGGGAAAATCTATTAACTGTTCACTTTAATATAAGGGACAATTATATATTAGACCAGTTGAACTTAAGGTGTTTCTCTCACCCAGATAATCAAACCTACCTTAGTAGAGCAGATCTACTGTAATGCTGCATGAGCTATCCTACCCTACCTACATTTTAAAGCAAATATAGCCCCACCTCTAAAGCACAACATTACATCATGCTATTACAAGAAGCAAAATTCTAAGACCTATAATGACGGGTGCTTCAACACTTGTCTTGCTCTTTATTTTACATTTAACTTGAAAAGAAATGGGAACAAAATATTTGGGTGTAAATCCAGCCATTTTTGTCATCACACCACTAAGGGTCCCTGAATTCCAAGACACATGATTGTATATGCAGCCAAGACTCATTTAAAAAAGACTGAATGGCTTCAGAATTATAAATTCCATATCACGTGCCACATACCCCTATGATGTTAGCAATGCAATAATACAACAGAACATGTATATTTTTCTTAGAGTTTGTTGCCATCCAAGGGACAAACTTTGGTTATCTTACTCAGGCATGGAGTATCACTGAAGTCTTAACTGCAAGCCTCTCAAGTATCTTCTAATTTCCTTAGCAAACAAGCCCAAGTCAGTCAAATCTACAGCAAAGTATTTTTTTCTAACAAAACACATACAACAGATACTTAAGGTAGTACAAACAAAAAGGCAATGACATACAAGAGCCAGTCCTTATAATGTGCCGTTGTTGTATGAAACCTGAATTTAGAAGAGTGACTTAGGGCAGCAGTACTGTACTTCATGTACTCCAAACAAACAAGTTAGGATTCACTGAGCTGTGCTTTCCTGACCTTTTGATTCATAAGATATACTATCCACAGCTGCTAGGAGGAATGGAAATTAAACAGGTCGGTAAACAACTCACTAAAAAAAGTTCAGGTACTGCCAACTAAACATAGTTACTGCCTTTACCATAAAAGCAAAGACAATTTTCCTTGGTCCTGTCAAATTTTACTGAATCAAGTGGGATCAGGAATAGCCTATTGTAGGATACCTGGGCGTTGGCCCTAAAAGGTAGGAAATGTACAGATATATTAAATGAAAGAAGTACCAGTGAAATCTGCTCTTTACATTCTGAAGCTTGGTTCCCACCCGCCTTTTTTTTAAAAGGTCTCAGTCTCATTTTAAAAGCTAATTTGAAACAGGAAGTAAAAGCCCCCTAGCAACCAGAGAAGCTGAGAAGAAGCACTAAAGCACAGCGTGAAGACAGAAAGCTTCCCTGTTCACAGGGTTTAAACAAGCTATTCCCATCACCTCGCCACACTAGGAAGCCCCAGTTGTAAATGGACCGACACTTCCCCATTCTGTGCACATATAAACAACAATTATTGCCACATGGAGTACAGTACAGTCAAAAGTGCATTAACCTTAGAATGAATATCCATACTGAACACACGATCAACAGTACAAGGTTAAATTGTAAGCAAACAAGAATCCTAAAAGCTTAACGTGTCGAGTGTCTTATAAAAATGCTGTATTTAGACCTCTAAGTCCCGCATGGACTAATTTTAAACGGAGGTTTTAAAACCTTGTTCCCCCTAGAGAAAAAGGATTCTGCTGTGTATGTTTCGATGAGACGCTTAAAATTTCCCTCTTATTTTTTAATCCCTCTCGTTCGCTCGAGTCTGCCCTGTTGCAATGTGTTTGGTCAGCTGCCCCTACAGGAGTTTAGCGGAAAGTCTTCTGCCAAATGAGAACTTCAGCCCTGTCCTCATTCTGTTGCCTATTCAACGCTGCTGCTTTTACTAGATTGTCGTGTAGAAACGAGGATTCCTGAGCAAAACGGTTTTCATCCCCCGCCCCCGCAACACGCCAATTTCCCCAGGGCGCTTCTTCCCATGGCATTTCAACCAGCACTGGCACCGCTCGGGTGCGAGAGAGGTGTGGGGCGAGGAAGCACAACCAGATATAAACTCGCTGACTCCAGGCTAGACCGGGGGCTTCTATTTGGTGCGCCCCAGCTCCTCGAGAAGTAGCCACCGGGGAATGAGGAGACCAACTTGCAAACATGCTTTGCCCAGCAGAGAGCGGTGAAAACGCAGCGCGCTGCACACGCCTGCCGGCGGGGCTCAGCCTCGCCCCGGGGCCCCAGTGCACGTTGTGCTCTGACTCGGGCAAATGCACCTGCCCGGCTGCTCACCGGAGCCGGCCTCACGCTCCCTCCCCGCAGGGAACTCGCACGGGAAAAGAGCAGGGGCCGGCAGCGCAGCAGCGGGCCAGGCCATTACCTGGGAGGAGCCAGCGGCGCTGGGCAGCCGGGACGCGGAGGGGCAGCCCCGCTGCCAGCAGCGGCTCCAAAGAGCGCGAGTCCTTCCCCCGCGCGGCGCTGCCGGGGCCAGAGGGATGTTTCCATATCGCTATGGCAGCAGCCGGAAGGGGGAGGGGGGCTAGGCACACTGAGGGAGGAGGCAGCGCTTCGGAGAGTTGCAGGAGCGGTGCTGGGCCCAAGGGAGTTGGGTCGGGGAGCAGCAGCCTTGTCTCCCACCACCGAGGAGAGATGTCGCCTCTCCCAGCACTTACCGCGTCTGGCTGGGCGCCCCCCACGGCTCGTTGCTCAGGGACAGGCTCCCCCACCCGCCCCAGAAAACTGGGAAGAGGAGTTACAGCTGCTGGCCCCCTCTCCCCTGCCACCTGGGCACGCCTCGCCCTCTCTAATCAAACGAAAGTTGTCCCCGGGGCCTGCTGCTGCTAAATAATACTGGGCATACTTAGCACCTAGTGAGCGATTTACGTTTTCAAAGTGCGGTGCACCCGTGAATTCAGAGGTTAATTCCCCTTTCCCTCGCCCTGCAAGAGCCAAGTGGGGTTTGTTTGTTGTGCTGGGTTTGACTTTATCATTTTATCAATAAGAGATAAAGACAGGAGGGTGTCCCCGGGGCCTGCTGCTGCTAAATAATACTGGGCATACTTAGCACCTAGTGAGCGATTTACGTTTTCAAAGTGCGGTGCACCCGTGAATTCAGAGGTTAATTCCCCTTTCCCTCGCCCTGCAAGAGCCAAGTGGGGTTTGTTTGTTGTGCTGGGTTTGACTTTATCATTTTATCAATAAGAGATAAAGACAGGAGGGTGGTGGCATTTGCACACATTAGTAATGAAGTAGTTCCCCCTCCCTGGTGAGTCCCATTGCTGCTTGCTTTGTTCAAGACGACTGCCCTTTAGGGATTGGGTGTAAAGGGGATGGGGGAGGGAGGAGCAGGAGGAGATATTGCAGCCCTCCAAATTATCTGTTGAAAGTTAAGAGCAGAAGAACAATCTCCCAGACACTGAGGCTGTGTCTAGACTGGCAAGTTTTTCCGGAAAATCAGCAGCTTTTCCGGAAAAACTTGCCAG